GGAAGTTGTTGTCTCTCATTCCGCACTAAATATATGTAAACGAAGACTAGAACCGATAGAAACGTCAAATATATTAGGAATAAGGCGTTCCCTTCTCTCGTGAAGATTGTGATGAATTCAAACAATGCGCCCAAAGATACCAATACACCGAATATTAACAATAAGATCACATTGGCCCGGATCACACCTATGAGCCCCAGGATCTGGATTAGGATTTCTATGGCCACGAATGCCACCACTATTCCGATCTTGGATTCTGTTCAGTCAGATATAAAAATAATTAATTAGTTTTGTTTTTACTTATAAGTTATCATTTTTTTATCATTAGTAATAAACAATGAAAATTTTATTTTTGTACCGGTATATAAATAGTAGTCAAATCAATCATTGCTCTAATTAATTGTAAATCTGATGTGATTTTTGTTTTACGCAAATGTTTATTTATTTTGTTTAAAACTTGTAGATTAGATAAACATTTATAAATCGTTTAAAAATCGCAATTGAATAAAAAACATAAAGGTTTATATATACTTTTCTAATCCTATTTCAGTTTTAAAATAGTCAAACATGAAAATAATTAAAATAATATTATTAATAAAATTTTCAACTAAATTTCTAAGGTTAACCTTTATATTTACTTGATTTACTGTTTTTGGAGATTTAATTTTAGAAATGTTTACAAACACGCTATTATTTACAAAGACTTCAAAACCCAATTCAAAGTTAATATTTATTTATTTTATTTCTGAATTGCAATAATATTATTTGAAAATCTTATTTAAAAATAACTCCATATGTGGGTAAAGACCTTTAAAATCTATGATAAATCTCTTTATTTTCTCGCATAAAATGGGAACCAAATCAAGTCGTACGACATATCAGTACATTAAGTGATTTGAAATATGATAATGAACTTCAAACTCGAAAATTTAGTTTTATATGATTTTTATCAACATTTCATTTCTAAACATTTTCCCCAAAAATGGTAATATTAATCAAGAAAATCATTGTTTGGTTTCTAGTCTTTATTCTTTATAAATAAATGATTTATTTATTTAAATGCCGTCAAAGCAAAGAAAAAATAATATCTAACTTCAAAAATATACATTCATTACAAAAAACTTGAAATGAATTCATATTTTCTCTACGAGACCATCAAAATAGGAATTTTTATGGAAAATACAATTATTTCATTAATAAAGTCTACAAAAACTGGTTTTATTTATATAATAATTTTTCGCTCATTATTTGTATAGCAATACTGTATGTATAATGTCTTAAAATAAACTTTGACTCTATTTTTATTATTTTCACACAAAAAGTCACGCAAATAATGCCATTTTCCTTTTTGAATAATAATTAACTTTTATATTTTACTTGTTTATTAAAATGCAATTTAAAATTGATAAATAATTTTTGTGTTTTAAATTTATTACAAATCTAATTTGTATTTAATTGGCGTCCAAATTATGTCATGACTTATATTATATGTGGAGTAAAAACTAAAACATCTATTTCTAGCATTTCTTATAATAATGGCTCACTTTTTGTGAAATCATTAATGACTTCATTCATACATAAACTGAATTTTAAAGACATATTTTGTAACAAATTTGAATATAATTTATTAATGAAATATTAACTATTAATACTTTAGGCTATGAATTGTTTTTATTGATAAAAATTCTCAAATAAGGAGAAATATTTAAATCAAAGCCAAGGTATTTACTCGTCATTGAAATAACATTAAAATTCATTGTAATATCTATTTAGCAAAAAATTCCCGTAAATTAAATTTCCTAAATAAAAAATCGGTTCAATTTGTGTGCCTAATAATAATACTTTATTATAATAATAAAATAGATAAAAACCATTAACGTAAACAGCAAAACCTATGTCAGCCCATAATAATTATAGACTTCTGTATGTTTCCAATAAGTTTATACGAAATAAATTGCAATTTGAGGACAATTTTTCATACGAGTTAAGGATAAGTTTGTAGAAAATGAATTGTAATTATAATAATTTAGTGCCATTTGACATAACAATCGCTTTTCTATAACTTTGAACCAAAGTCTGCGTTCAAAACTCATTATTTATATAAATGTTGTAAATGTTTGCAAAATTGAGTTTTAAATAAAATGAAAAAACCAAACAAATTGGTTGCCAGACATGAGTTCAATAAAACAATTAAAACTATTTTAAGTTAACGGGATTAAAAGGATATACAATATACGCAATTAATAATGCATAATCATAATCATAACTTGACTCTACATACAGTAATGAACCGGGTTCATTTTCCTCGCATAATTAATTATCATGATTACAATGAGTGACAAAACAATTATTTTATTTATGAATTACTGTATTGTTTGTTTCAATGAATTACAGTATATTCACATTCATAGCAATAATTAAAATATAAAATTTCATAATTGAATGCAAAATTCATGCAAAGTTGACGATACATACTGTCCATAGACGTGGAGTCCGAGTGCTCGTACAGGAGGTTGTCCTGCTCTGGGATACCAGTCCTGCGACCATCACTCGAGTGATGGGATGTCATCACAATCAACAGAAAGACAACTATGAATGAGAAGACAATTCCGATACATATCTTCGTAATCAACAGGTATTTGATTGTCTTAAATGTGAAACTTTTGTCACTCATTGCTCACTTCACACCAAATGTACACTTATTTCCGATTAATTGTCGCTAATTATATGACTATCGATACTATTTTACACACATTTAACACTTTCGCATAAAGTTATCATGCAAAAATATAGTGAATATTCATCATCAATATCGTGATCAATATTGTTTGACTATAACATTGGTGTTATTTTCGCACAAAATATGCTTCACATGAATCTCTCATACAATCCATGCAATCGTCGCCTTTTAACTCACGAGTAGTGAAAAACTTGTTGTTTATGGCAATGATTTCATCATTTTTGCCACAAACCCGTCGATCAAGTTATTAGTCATAACAGCGACGAGAGATT